AGCAAACTCAGAACGAGCTTTCTCGAGCTGAGAGGTTAGCTCTGCAAAGTCCGCTTGGGCTTTGGCACCTGCTTCTTCTCCCTCTTTGACTGCTAGCGCACGCTCATCTTGAAGCTTCTCGATTTGAGTTTGGAGCTCAGCTGCCTTTGCTTTCGCATCCTCTTCTTTGGCCTCATGTGCTGCAGTTTCAGCAGCCACTGCATCCTGCAACTTCTGGATCGTTTCATTCAGTTCTTCTGCTCTTGACTCTGCCTGCTTCACATCTGATTCTCTCGCTTCTTGTTCTGCAGAAAGCTCGGCTCTTGCTTTTTCGAGCTGGGAACTGGTCTCCGAAAGATTCTCCTGGGCTTTAGCTTCTGTTGCTTCCGCCTCTTTCACTGCAGTTGCATGTTCATCTTCGAGTGTCTGGATCTGCTTTTGAAATTCAGCTGCTCTGGCAGTCGCATTCTCCTCTTGCATTTCACGGGCACTGGCCTCTGCAGCAACAGCTTCTTGAAGCTTCTGGATCGTTTCATTCAATTCCTTTGCTCTTGACGCTGCTTCCTTTGCATCTGACTCTCTCACTTCTTGCTCTGCAGCAAACTCAGAACGAGCTTTCTCGAGCTGAGAGGTTAGCTCTGCAATATCCCCCTGGGCTTTGGCATCTGCTTCTTGACTCTTTCTCACTTCTGCTGCATGTTCATCTTCAAGCTTTTCGATTTGAGTTTGGAGCTGAGCAGATCTTGCCACGGCCACCTTGTCTTGCGCTTCCTTGCTTCTCGCCTCCGTGGCAAGTGCATCTTCGAGTTTCTGGATTGCTTCTTTCAGTTCTTCTTCTCTTGTTGACGCCTGATTTGCGTCGGACTCCCTCCCCTGACGCTCTGCTGAATACTCCGACCTTGCTCTCTCAAGTTGCGCCAGCATCGTCTGCGCGTCTTCCATTGCTTTTGCCTCCAGCCTGTCACCACGTTCTACTGCTTCAGCATGCTCTGATCGAACACGAACCATATCAGCCGCAAGGCCTGACGCATTTTCGGAAGCTTTAGCAAAATCAGCTTCCATGCGTTCCACCTCCTTGGAATATGTCTGCTTGATCCTATCCATCTCCTCAGTGTGCTGCGAGCTCATCCGTTGGATCTTTTCTCCCAGTACCTCGACTTGAGATTCTTCTCTGCGCCACGATTCCTGAGTCTCCTTAAGGTCTTTGCAAAGCTGCACCTGAATCAAAGGACTACGCCGACGCCATAATCCACAACTTACCACCAAAAGAATAAAGCAGAAACTCGCCAAGTGCAGAGTTCGACAGTGTGCCTCTAGCACGCTTAAGTAAAGAATGTGGGCGACTACATAAACAAATCCAGTATATAGTCTGTCCAAATCAAGCGATGCCACAACATTTCCCCTTGCGCTGTGTTAGGTAGTCCTCTCAAACAACAAATGGCTTCGCCCAGGCAACCCAAAGTGCCAAAGGAACTCCCTGCCTTCTCAGCTTCAAAGTGACGGGTGAGTTCCACCTGCCGTTGAAGACTCTGCTTTTCTGCTTGTAGCTCCTCCTCCTGCTCTGCAGTAAGTATCTGGAGAGCCTGCTTCGCGCTACTTCGCGCTTTCGGGCACTTGAAACCTGGACTGTTTGTATAACGGGAATCTTGAATCTTGAGGCCCAAATTCTCAAGAAATCGAAGTCAAAATCCAAACCCAGCGGCCACAAACGTGTCCTGCGCTAAAGAACCTACAGAGAGCTATCTGGAATCTCTTATTGGCGCGCTACAAGCGTACAAGGCGTGATTTTGAAGATACACCTCAATCAAAGTGTACAGTATGAAGTGCGTGAAGCGAAGCGCAGAGCGCTTTCCATGGTGTCAGATGAGAGATGCTAATCCTGAGTCACGAATCGGACCAATTGTAAGTCACAGTTGGTCACTGGTCACTTATGTGCGATCCTGAGACCTTTACAGATTCGAAGTGCGATCCGCCCTTCTCTCCTGCCTGCTCAGATTCTTTCCGTTGATCCTCAAGAGTTTCAGCATGCTGTCGCTGCAGCTCCTGACAGTCTGGCAATGTCTGTCGCTGGATCGGGTCATCACTTGCGACTGAGTGCAAAACGGCCGCAACAAGACCTACGCACCATGCTACTTCGAAACCCGCACCGTCGCCACACAAAACATGCAAAATGAAAAGGACTGTCAGTGCCATACCGAAGCAGCCCCAAATAGCAGGAAAAACGACTGGCTAGGGCCTTACCTATTGTTTTGTTCATCCTCCCCCCAGTCCTCCATTCTCTGGCGGATATCGTGCATCCTGGACTCTGCACTTTGTGCTTCGTCCTCCTGTTAGCAGCCCGAGGTTGCAAATTTTAAAGCTAGCTAAGTTTGTCGAACTAGACAGAGGGAGCAGGGGCCAATGTGTGGTTTTCCTCTGGGGCAGCTCAAGCTTGCGATCGTCCGAAGCTACTCAGGTACTTGCGCTTGGGTGGTTTGATCGTATGTCTCCCTCTCTCTCTCTCTGGGGCGGGCATTGGCATGACTCGTGCCGGAGTCGCCCAACGGCAACTTCCCCTAAAGGCTGGAGACCAAGGGGCAAACGGAACCAATATGGGAGACTGCTATGTATATGTAACATTATGTATATAACATTATATTCATAGGTGAATATCTATACACATATATATATATAGAGAAAGAGAGGTACATACACACGATTCACGATGCCCCAACTTCACCAATGAATCGTTGCACGACGACTGGCCGTCTGCATCATTTCTCCTTGGCCCGTCGCAGCTGCTCCACCTGAGGGGTTCTTGAGCTCAACCCAAACCCATCTAGTAAAATGCGGAACACACATATATATATATATATAGATATATATATACATATACATATATAAACTTATATACAAATAACCCCAATGGTGTATGCGCAAGAAGCAGGTGAATCAGCTGGCCTGCTCTGACAAAGATTCAGCATCCTTGGACTTCGCTTGTTTCAAGCAAACTTCCTGGGCGGTTGCTGCAGCCGCTGATCCAGAACCAAAGACGAGCGCAGAAAGAATCAAAGTTCAGCGAACCAAATCAATCTGATTGGACAACTTTGTGCTTATCGATGCAGTGTGTTAGTCTAGATTGGTGACAGAACGCTCAACAAATAGATTTGACAAAATCCTTGTCCATTATTTGCGCCATGCTCCAGACTTGGAGCCTGTTTGCCTTGGCCCCGCCTCCTCATGTTCGGAGCGCCACTGCTCCACTGACTGCTGAAGCTCTGCTTTTTCTTGCGCTGCAACTGCTGCCATGCTCTCAGCTTTCTCCACTGCCTCGGTGTGTTCAGACTGCCAACTGGCCACCTTCTGGGTCAGTTCGCGTGTTTGCTGGTCCATATCCTTTTCCAAGACTTGCAGCGCACTTGTCTCTGTTTCGAGTGAGTCTTGAAGCTTCCGGATCGTTGCATTCAATTCCTCTGCCCTTGACGCTGCTTCCTTTGCATCTGACTCTCTGACTTGTTGCTCTGCAGCAAACTCAGAACGAGCTTTCTCGAGCTGAGAGGTTAGATCTGCAAAGTCCGCTTGGGCTTTGGCACCTGCTTCTTCTCCCTCTTTGACTGCTATCGCACGCTCATCTTGGAGCTTCTCGATTTGAGTCTGGAGCTCAGCTGCCTTTGCTTTCGCATCCTCTTCTTTGGCCTCATGTGCTGTAGTTTCAGCAGCCACTGCATCCTGCAACTTCTGGATCGTTTCATTCAGTTCTTCTGCTCTTGACTCTGCCTGCTTCACATCTGATTCTCTCGCTTCTTGTTCTGCAGAAAGCTCTGCTCTTGCTTTTTCGAGCTGGGAACTGGTCTCCGAAAGATTCTCCTGGGCTTTAGCTTCTGTTGCTTCCGCCTCTTTCACTGCAGTTGCATGTTCATCTTCGAGTGTCTGGATCTGCTTTTGAAATTCAGCTGCTCTGGCAGTCGCATTCTCCTCCTGCATTTCACGGGCACTGGCCTCTGCAGCAACAGCATCTTGAAGCTTCTGGATCGTTTCATTCAATTCCTCTGCTCTTGACGCTGCCTCCTTTGCATCTGACTCTCTGACTTCTTGCTCTGCAGCAAACTCAGAACGAGCTTTCTCGAGCTGAGAGGTTAGATCTGCAAAGTCCGCTTGGGCTTTGGCACCTGCTTCTTCTCCCTCTTTGACTGCTATCGCACGCTCATCTTGGAGCTTCTCGATTTGAGTCTGGAGCTCAGCTGCCTTTACTTTCGCATCCTCTTCTTTGGCCTCATGTGCTGCAGTTTCAGCAGCCACTGCATCCTGCAACTTCTGGATCGTTTCATTCAGTTCTTCTGCTCTTGACTCTGCCTGCTTCACATCTGATTCTCTCGCTTCTTGTGACGCAGACAGCTCTGCTCTTGCTTTTTCGAGCTGGGAACTGGTCTCCGAAAGAGCTTCGTGGGCTTTAGCTTCTGTTGCTTCCGCCTCTTTCACTGCAGTTGCATGTTCATCTTCGAGTGTCTGGATCTGCTTTCGAAGATCAGCCGCTCTGGCTGTGGCATTCTCCTCCTGCATTTCACGGGCACTGGCCTCTGCAGCAACAGCATCTTGAAGCTTCCGTATTGTTTCATTCAATTCCTCTGCCCTTGACGCTGCCTCCTTTGCATCTGACTCTCTGACTGCTTGCTCTGCAGCAAACTCAGAACGAGCTTTCTCGAGCTGAGAGGTTAGATCTGCAAAGTCCGCTTGGGCTTTGGCACCTGCTTCTTCTCCCTCTTTGACTGCTATCGCACGCTCATCTTGGAGCTTCTCGATTTGAGTCTGGAGCTCAGCTGCCTTT